GGGAAGAGACCAGGGATAAAGAGCTTTCTGTATTTCTCTTGGTTTTAACTGCTAAAACAATTTTTGTTCCATTAGGTTTGTAATGGGAGATCTTTCAGAGTGAATTTACACAAAGGCCTCTGACTTTATTAATTCATCACAACTAACCTCAGTCTTCACATGGCTAAAAACAAATTGCTGACTTCCCATAAATGCCAACATCTCCTTACACTCTGCCTTGAAAGTTGTTCACTGTAAAATTATTCCAGGATTTCAAAGACTATTCAGCTAGCATGGCACAGACATACACATGCCACGAATATACATATGTTTACACACAGAGAAATAGTTATCAACTCATCTCTTCAGGATTCAGCTTGGGTTAATCCAACAACAATCTAATCTGCAAAATCTAGGCTGTCAACCACAATTTGACCTCCAAGAGGCCAGCTGGCTACTGGCTACTAGATGGAAAGCATCTCCACAAGGTCTTGAGGAATGACAGATGCCTTGAGATATTGTCTAGCTGCTTATCCAAAGTATCTCCCAAGATTGCTCATCTATGCCTTTCCTGGAATCCCTTTCCATATTCATAGAATGGGGAGAGTCTGTAGAAAGATGGCTCGTAGGCCTCCCCCTATAATACATACTTTGAAACTCTCCAAAGCAGATCCATTGGAAAATTGCCACCTTCCTGCAAGAAGTGTATCACTATCTGGCTATGTTCAGCCCCACCACCTCCCCAGGTTGATCTCCAAATTTCCAGAACAGGAGACAAGCGAATTACGCCATCACACTGCAAAATGGTGCAACGTGAGCGGACTAGCTAGGACATGTTCAGAGCCTAAAACTGTACTCCAAATGAAGAGTTATCAAACTTTGAAAGAGCGTTTAATTTTGTTATTTCATTAGATCAATGACCTGCCTTTTTAAAGCAGCAGAGTGAGCATAACATGGACCGAACAAAGAAAGAGAGGGACGAAGAGTGAGTTGGTCTCTGAAGCAGCTCCTTTTCCATTACAACTGTGACCCGCAGAGTCACTAACTAAATTAACTTCACCTGGGGGAATTAAATGGATTTGTCACTAACCAGACACCCCCCACCCCATGTGAAAAAGTTCACATAGTCCTAAAAACCGGTTGTGGAACTATTTGTATTTTAGTGGGAGCATCTATGGGGCAAATTCTAATTGACGGTGGGTGGCTCTTGTTGAGAATCTATCAATCACACACAAACTGGTCAAGTGATTCTGAAACAGTATCCATCAGCGAACTGGACTCCCCGTGATTTTCTCACTGGATAACCATCAGGAGCAGCTGAAACTCTAGCACTTTATTCTGTCAAATACCAAAAAAACCCAAAATAGGTCCATCAAACTGAAGTGTTCCTATTAGTAGCCACGAGATTATTCCAAAAGTAAACAATGACAAACCAATATCATTAGTAGATGGGAGGCTAAAAGCAATACATTAAAAACAAAAATGTTACATGCAGTCTGCAGGTCACTGAAGGGACTGCAAATCTCAGGTATGAAAGATCTGAAATACAAAAAAGGCAAGTAAATATCCACTGTAAAAGTAATGGGCCCAAGCTCTCAAATTAAAAAAAAAAAATTTTTTTAAGATTTTTATTCATTTATTCGAGAAAGAGAGAGAGAGAGCGTGGGCAAGAGAGTGAGAGAGAGCATGAGTGGGGGCGGAGAGCAGCAGAGGGAGAAGCAGGCACTCTGTGGAGCAGGGAGCCCTATGCAGGATTCGATCCCAGGACCCTGGGATCACAACCTAAGTAGAAGGCAGACACTTAACAAACTGAGCCACCCAGGCGCCACCCCCCGGCTCTCAAATTTTGAGGAATATTATGCTGGGCCACTCTAGTTCATCCAAGACTCTTGTGTGTATTAATAGAAATAGCTACTATACCTCCACACTATAATCTTATAAAGCATTATCATCGCCCCCATTTTATAGGTAACAAAACTGAGACTTCAAAGAGCTTAAGTAACTTGCCCAAGTTCACACAGCTAGCAGAGACAAAGGCAGCTTTGGAACCTGGGCTGTGTGACTCCAAAGTGCACTTGACTGCTACCCTTGTATGAGTTCGGCCTCATCCCACCATGTAACTTTCGGAGGAGGTTTGACGTTATTTGGGCCGAGACAGAGAAGAGAACAAATTAGAGGTTATAAGGAAAAAAAGCTGTCCTGGCCCCAAAAAGGCTAGTTCCAGACTCATGATACTAGATGCCCCTGCTTTCAAGCTTTTAGCCTATAATCAACCCATATTGAAACCAGATTTACGAGCTCTTCAGAGGAGAGCTTTGTGATTTTCTAAAGCAGACATGTTTGGTATTTTAGAAGGTCAAACCCCCTATGGTGCAGTGTTTTTAATAAAATCAGTTCAGCAGAAATTAGAGACACACCAGTCAATTCCTAGGAAGCCTCTGAGCCATTCAAAATAAGGGTGTGTGAGGCGGGGGGGATAACATAAAAGACATAACCACGTACAGATCAATTTTTTCAAGAGGGATAGAATGGAAGGGGTGTAGATATAGAAACATCATGGCAAATTTGGTCCCATTTGTCTCTGGTTGTGGCAAATTTCCACTTAGAAAAAAAATCTTACTTTTGGGGGGGAGTTCTATGTCAATATTAAACAAGGGCTGTTCCTGGTTAGCCCGGCCTTGTCCTGTCACCTCAAAGTAACAGTAAACATCTCCAGGAGGGAAAAACAAATACAGCAGTCATCACCTTACTTACATCACCAAATCAGGTAGGTAGTTATTTCATGAAGGGCCCTTTATCTCTGCTGTTGGCAGCTTCCACATTCTCACAGGAAAGCAAAAGGAGAATCTATATTTAGTTCTTGGTAAAAATCAAAGTTGACAGACCTGCAATATTTTCATCGAAAAGGCCGAGTTATGCCCAGATCTGCCTTTGAAGACTGGTGGCTGGGGCAGTGTGCAAATACTATATGAATAAATATCTCATTTAGTATCTATGAATATGACCCATGAAGGGGAAAGGGTCTGTCATTAGGAAAAGACACAGGAGTAGGAATAGCCCATTATTATGTGGCTAGCACTTGAGCACCCTGGACACCCAGTCCGCCAGCAGGGGGCAGGCACACAGCGCCAGCGCCCCCCTGAATGGGGTGGGGGGCTGTGCTGTAAATAGCCTCGTGAATGTACAGTAGAAACAAGAGGCAGGGTAGCTAACACAGTCAACGGAAGTAGAGGCATTTTGCATTCATCTTCCAGGATATGTGATTTCAGGGCCAGCCGAGACCCAGGCCTTTCCTGGAGGATGGGGTTTACTGGTTTCCAAGTGATTCAAAGTATCAGACTTCAAATCCTTCATTGCCTTATTTAACGAATTGCTGAGTTCTTAGTTAACTGGTATTTGGAACAAATGGGGTGAATAAGAGTAACAGCAGGGCCAGCAGGGGGAAAAACTAACTACATGGAGCTGATAGAAACTTGAGGCATCACTGTGCTTGCTTGACGCTGTTCGTGAAAGCAGGACGGATAAGGAGCAAGAAGTCTTTTAACCTTCAAGCTACGGAACTACTGTAATTTGATCTGGAGCTCAAAGTGGAGATGAGGGTCGGAACTCCATCAGGTGGCAATTTCGGTGAATTTTCTTATCTAGACGGTTTTGGATAGTTAGATCACAATTCTCTGGCTCCCTCAAAAAGCAACACACCTAAAACTCAACACCCTTTATAAACTGTAAGCCATGCGTGCGAGAACTGCCATTCTCAAAAAGCACAATACGAATGCCGTCATTTATTAAAATGTGTATTTATTCCATAGCCTACTTTGTACGGGGCTGTGGCCTATTAATTATTAAATAATCTAGGTACTCGTTTTTAGACTAATCATTTCGACTCAGATTCTTCCATAACCTTGGCGACTGCATCTGTCTTAAGGGACCCAAATTATGCTTATCATAAAATAATCCCCCAAATATGCACACACACAATCCTTTAACACTCATAAAAGAAAACCCCATACTCAAATATGCAGACTAGAGGTTCATTTTTAAGCAGAAGTTTCAAATATACAAAAGAATTGGGAGAAAAAAAAAAGAATCCTACATGGCAAATGCTTCTCACATTTAGGATAACAAAGACCTATTTGGGGGGAAAAGCACACAAATGTGGCATGGGTTTAAATTCAGGCTGAGCAGTGTTGCCAGACAGAAGGTCCTGCAGGAGTGAAAACACTGTTACTTAGTTTATCAGTGACTGAAGTCAATGTGGGGAGCAGGGGGCCCTAGTGTTCTTTAAATCTCAGTTGATACAAATAATCTTCACTATTGAAACCCTTTCTAAACATTGAGAAGAAAAAAAATGCGTGAAGGAAGGTTTGAAAACTAAGAGCATGATAGAATCAAGTTTGGCTAATCTGGGATCCAAAACATTTAATCTGGTCTGAGACAAAGCCAACTGATAAATTAATCAACAGTAAAAGTAGACAATGACTAACTTGAACTAGGAGAGGAAGTTTCGTTTAGCAGGTTTGGTTTGGTTTTTCTTTTTTGGTTGGAGGTAGACACATTTTAAAAAGCAATTCAGAGCAACTGGATTAAGTTGATGAATTATTACCTCTGCTCATAAGGCAGCTCTAGACACTGATCCATCACATCCGACCTAGCATAAAGAAGTTTAAGATTTCTCTTAGAACAATCCCGGTTTTTAGCTTTCACCTAACAAAAACATGTGGGTAAGACACTGAACGATGGGCAGGACACATTTAGAAATTCTCCACACTGTAAGAAAACTACAAATATGCATGTAAGGATAAACAAGATCTTGGTCTTGTTTAAAAACAAAAAAAAAACAAAACAAAAACAAAAAAAATCAAGCCAAATCCTACAGTTGAGCCCTTACTATGAGCGACAACAGATCTTCATTTGTATAATTAACATGTAGTTTCTTATGCGTCCCACTTAGTTTTTAATTTATGACAAGACACCGCTAAATTTCAGACAAAATATATATATATATTTTTAAATCTTTACAATAAATCAAGATGTTGGAGCTTACACAGAGCACATTTTAGTTTATTTAGGTACTCGATTTCAGCTCGCTCAGATGCAAATAACCCTGGTAACAGTGTGTACGTACTCTTCTCGTTGCTTTTTATCATTTTAAAGCAAATAATACATTTGACTGTATTTAAAGAGTCTGTGCAAATAATCCTTCAGAAGAAATATCCAAGATTCTGTTTGCAGAGGTCATTCTGTCTCTCGAAGGTGAGTCTGTGAGTTCGTTTTTCTTCAGATAAAGTGCTCCTGTCCAGCAGAACCCCAAGCCTTCCAGCGCCCACAAACTTCGGTTCGGGGTCAGCCCCCGTCATACGAACTCCAGCTTCCCGTGCCCACTGTACATGCCCCAGTGGACGAGCGAGAGGATCTTCTCGTTGCTGAGGTCCGCTTGTCTCATCTTGTCACAGGTCACACAGCAGTTCTCATGGCCGCTTACTGGCACCATGCACTCCAAGTCTAACTTGGCTACCTGCCCCTTTTTGGAATGGTGTCCATGGAAGCTGTAGTGCAAACGGGACAGCATCTGCTGCCGCTGATCCTGCAGTCTCTTGTTCTCACTTCGGAGCATCCTCAAGGCCAACATGATCAGCAATACCAGGATCAGGCCGCCGGCGATGGGCACGGCGATCACGGCCGCCCGGAACCACAGCTCTTTGGAGGAAGTCAGCTCCTGCACTTTGGTGATGAGGTTCCTGCTGCCATCGTGCTGATGGCGGTTTCCTTGTCCTAGAGCAACACAAACGCGTGAGCAGACCGCGGTAAGCCCTCCCGCAGGGGTTTATGATCATCTATCCATCTGCAACAAGGCCCCCCCTGAGAAAGCAGCTTGCAGTGAAATCAACAGTATTTACAAAATACATGTTGCCAAGCGATGCAAAGATCAGCTTCCAAGAACAGTCCGTTTAGGGACTGTCGTTCCTGAACAGTAAGGGTCCTCTGGGTCTTCCGAATGTGGGAAAACCAGGCAAAACCTATTATGCAGACAGACATCTCATGCTCAGGCCAACGTAAAAGCTACTACATAGAGATGCATCTTTGCATCCAGCCATGCCTCTCCCTCTGGTGTCTCTAATTACATTAACAACAAAATCAATAGCAGACATACAAAGTCGAGGCTGCCGCCGGCCTATAGAGCAGGATGGCGTCCTGGCGAGAGGGGGCTTCTACCTACCTGAGGCCTCCCCCTTGGGAGGGGCGAGCACATCGTGCAGCCCTCGGTAATTGCACATATCTTCGTGACAGCATTCCAATGTGGGCATGGTGGTGCCAGAGTGGTTTCGGGCCTGTGTGGCTTGGCAAATGTCTGCTGTGCTTGCGAGAGAATCCAGGCAGCCATGGGTGAGTGGGGAGTTTGTGTTCTGAGGATCAAGAAGCCTGGAGAAGCAGGCGCTCAGCTCCGACTTACACATATAGCCAGTTGCCACGCAGTGGGCAGCATCACAGTAGCATCTGATTTCACCTGAAGACAATGGGAAATTGCATCAAACGCCTTCCGAGACCAGATAAAGCTTCTACCTGGGCAACTGCTCAACCTCAAGATCAGAGGCACGAACTTTTAGAACAGTCAGCTGAGTGCCAGCAATGGCAGCCCCAGGTGGACTTGGGAGAGCCCTCTGTGCAAACCAGTGCTTAAATTTCAACCCAGTGAAACGTAATTTTAGAAACGTATTAACCCCAACAGCAAAGTATCAAAGTTCGATGGCGATTTCTGAGAAGTTTAGCGAGTCATTCAAAATATTACTTCTGGATTTGAAGGAAAAGAATCATCACAAGAACTTCTACCATCAGGTAAATTACACTGTTTATTCATTTTAATCCTACGTGACCATACAACATAAAAATGCTAGGCTTTTTGATTTTGTCAGTATAAATATTTGATCGGAACTACTGAATTGTTTACTACTTTAAAGGGCTGTGCCAAGATTTAAGAGCTTTAGCTAACACCTTATAAAGTTATTAACTAGAAACACAACAATCTAGAAATTGCTCCGGTCAGAAGGTTTTAAAACTATGAAACTGGGCAGCTATTTGCAACCTCTCTAGAAAAGGCAAACTTTGCCTATAAAGATCTTTTCATGCAGAGGAGCTTTTAGTCAGTATATTGTAAAACAGGAACTAGGCAGTTTACAATTAGTGGTTTGCTTGCCAAAGTCAATTTCTTTCAGCCCAAATGGAAAGTCATAAAACTGGGGGAGGGGGGGGCGGGTGAGGAGGGGAGGCGGGTATAAAACGGCAAAGCTAACTTCTCCCCTTAACTCCCCAGTTTTACATGTAATTCAACATGGGATCTAAAAGGGGAAACACTGAAACTGAAAATCCTCTGCTGGTTGAATGAAAAATCCTTAAGGAAACCTCAAATTTTTCTCCAGGAAGTGATTAAAAGTTTCCTTTATAAAACTTATTTGGGGAATTGCAAGTCGCTGGTAACATTTTGCAGCAATGCATGCTCTGAGGCTTTCAGCAACCATCTCTAGTTCAAATGATCTGGGTCTCAGACCTATCACTAATAACCGTATCTGACCCCGTGGACTGGTCACTATCAGATACCACAACTAAAGCTACTGTAAACGGGACTGAGGTACACACCTCTTCCCAGCTTCCCAATCAGAAGTTCTGGGTAGTTCCTGAAACCCCTGCTCTGAAATTAAACACCAGGGACTGTGGTTTTATAGACCTCTCCCTACCCTCTCCTTTCTTCTTCCTCCTCCTCTCAGTGAATGTGAACCCCTGAGTAAGGTGTCTCATTTAATTATCTGTCCAAATTCCAGGCCACTGTATGGTATGCTCGGTTTTCATCAGACGCTGCTAATGCTTTCGTTCTAAAAAAACCTGCCAGCTAATTAGATCTTTGGCAATCTGAGTTTAACCATCCAAAGCTGGAGGTCCCGCTCTAGCCTCAATCAGCGAGCTCCCTGTCCCTGTCACAGTCTGGGCCGAAGTCCCTTCCCCAGGAAGACCTTCAAGTTGGAAACTTGCTTTTTTAAGGTTCTCTCTCCTCTTTCCAAGCTTAGTTGATTTTTTGCACAAAGCTCACCAGTCCAACGTGGTGATGAATATGTATCCCTAGCCTGACAAATCCCATAGACAGATTTAAAGTAGAAATAAAACAGATTCAAAGTCCATTTTGATCCTATTCGCCTCAGACCGAGCACAGAAAAAGAGCACTGAATGGAAAAGGAAAAAGAGTAAAATGTTTATGAGAGCCTATTTAAAATACTGTATTTTCAATGACCTAAAACAGTCTAATAAAATTTTGACAGGTAACTACGAAAGTTCTAACAACTTTTTTTTTTTAATTGGAGCCACATTTCAACAAGTTGAATGGACTTTTGTATTACTGTATTAAAACTATATTTCTGTCGTTTCATAAAGTTTCTTCCTGTGGCATGCAAAAGGCCCAGAAAGGGGACTGGTATTTGGAAACAGTGAACAATGCTCTTCTGTTTCCCCCCCTTTCTTGTTACTGTATGTAGTGATTAAACAAAAATGTCTGCTTTAGTCAAAATGGCTACAGGAGAGACTCCTGGCTTCTTTTAAAGCTTTTGAAGTCCGCAGCAGTCAGAAATCTCTGATCCCCTAATTATATCATTATCAGGCACATAGTTTCGGTATCTGTGACTTCATGTCAGCCTCAGTCCCTCCCTGTTCTGTCGGCCTTTGATAGGGCCAGGAGGCTCCCCTCTGCAGGCTACCAGGGCTGTTATTTAGGGTTAATTACACCCTTCCTTCCAAAATAAATAAATACTGTAGCACATCACCCTTGCTGGGCTAGCTTATCCTTTAACCTCATGCCTGCTACATGGCAATTAGAGAAAGGGAGGGGGAGTGCAAAAGCTAAATAACGCTTCCCATTAAAAAAAAAAAATTATCTGTTCACAGAACAGTAGGTAGAGTTCATGACGGGGGAGGCGCGGGAATCCTTGAAATCTAGGAGTTTGGGTTATTTCGACCTAAAAGGCGAAAGCCTGCAGGGGGAAAAAAGAAACCGACCTTCTTTTTCTTTTTCTTTCTTTCCCTTTTTTTTTTTTTTTTTTGGTAGTAGTGTGTAAACTCTGAGCTGAGTGGGAAATGGGACCGCTGACAGAGCCTACCCCTCCCAGCCCGAGAAGCCACACAGCACAACTCCTGCACACGGACACACACACTTGGGGCACCTCCTCCCTCACAGGGAGGCACGCACACTCGCTGGCTCACAAAGACACTCAGAGACACACACCGAAGGCACACGCGCGGACGGAGTCACACTTGGGAGACGCGCGGGGACAGCCCGCACTCCAACCCCGCGCAGCTGCGAGCAGGGTCCGCGGTTCGGCGCGGCCGCCTCCGCCCGCAGGGTGCGGAGGGCGGCTGCGTCCCGGCGCGCACAACGGCCCCGCTCCCCGGCTGCAAACGTTCAGAAGTTCGCCACGGACAGATTTACAAAAACATTTTGACAACCACTTGCCCCGAGGTCTGACTCCACCTCCACGCGCCGGCCCCGGGACACCCAAGGGGGCGGCCGCGAAGCCACCGCCGCGACTTCTAAGAACAGGCAACTTGTCGCGACCTGCGGGCTCCAGCGCGGGAGGAAACCTCGCCCGCCGCTAACAAAGCCTTGGCAGCCGCCTTCAAAGGCCCGCGGCGGCGCGGCCGCCCCGGGACCCCCGCGCGCCCCTCCCCGGAGAGCCCGGGCCCCGGCCGGCCGGCGGGCACCCACCTTTGGTGAGCAGCACGGCCATGGCGCAGAGTTCGAGCTGCAGCCAGATGAAGATGTAGCTGGAATGGCGATCCATTGACGCCCCCCACGGCCGCGGCGCCCCCGCCGGCTCCCGGAGCCGCGGCGCAACTGCAGCCTACGGCTCCCGGAGCGCGCAGTGCATGGGGGCTCCCCGGGGCGGCGGGCGCCGTCAGCGACCGGGCGAGGGGCCGGGCCGCGGCCGGAGCATGGAGCGCGGCTGGAGGGGCGCGGAGGAGCCCAGAGGACTTTCACGGTTCGCCTCTGCGGCCACCGGGCTCCTTCGCTCCGTTCGGCGCCGCGGTCCCGGGTGGGCTACCGGCCTCGCTCCCCCTCAGCCGGGCCACTCTGCGAAGGGAGAAGCTCTCCGAGCGCGCGCAGAGACCGCCAGCCGCGAGCTCCTGCCTGCACCCGCCTCTGCCGGCCCGGGTCCGCGCCGCCGTAAATAGCGCCCTGCGCCTGGAGCCGGCCAGACCCCGCCCCGCCCCCGACCCCGCCCCGGCAGCGCCAGCGCCGTCCGATTGGCCGCCAGGCTCCAGTCAATCATCTCCGCAGCCAGGAGGCGGGCCCAGAGGGGGCCAGGGAGGGACCTGCCCCGCGGCTCTTAGCGGCGCCGGCGTCTGGGGCTGCGGGCGGGGAGGTGGCTGTCTCCCGCGCTCCCCCTCGCGGAGGCCTGCGCGTCCGTGACGTGCGCGAGGCGCGGGTCGATCCCGGCCGCCGGGTCTCTGGCACTCGCCTCCGGGACCCTCACAACTCAGACTTGGGCCGGCGTCCCCAGCCCGTGGCTACTTTTTTGTTGCCCCCGAAACACGCGGGGGACCGAGGGGTCGCTTGCGGAAGTCTTCCGGGGCCACGCTGCGCGCTTTAGGAACCCCAGGGACAAGTGGCGGTCCCCCGGCGTGCGCCATCTGCCAAGGCGCCCCTGCCGAGCCCTGCCCGCTCGCGTGTGGCCTAGGAGGGGGTTCCGTCGGGAGCCCGGAAGCGGGGCGGCCGGGGGCTGGGGTCTGCTTTCAGCCTTCCCCCCCCTCCCGCCCCGCCTCAGCGCATCCGCCTCCACCCGCCCGCCCTGTGATCAATAAAGCCCAGACAGACAGACTGTTGATCAGTGGGAGCCGCTAAGTTCTCCTGGGTAGACCGGGGACGAGTAGCCGGCTAGAGACACTTAACGAAAATTAGCAAATCCAAAAGCACCCGGCGCCAGCGAGACGACACAGGCCGAGACTGACACTCAATTAACCACCCCCCAAACAATCGCAGGCAAACACACCGGCTGACCCTGATCAATATCAGCCCCGCAGTGATCTCCTTTCTGAGATACTAATTCATTTATTAGAACTTGCAGGGCTGCCGGCCCCCAACGTACCCAAAGGCAGTCCTGGAGGTTTTGCTGCTGTTGTTGTTTTTTCATTTTTTTGGAGGTAAAATTCAACTTAAAACTCTTATCTGAGGGACTGCTCTTGTATCCCTTCCTCCCATAACCTGAGATGAACAAAAGTCAATTTGAGAAATTTCCTTTTAGGATCAGCCAACATTTCCCTACCTGATAAAATGTCAAGGGGTGGCAGGGAGAGAAAGAAAAGCATTTAATGCCAGAGTGGGAGATGTAAAGTCAAATGCTTTAGGACCATGGTACAGCAATGAGCTTTGAGGCTAAGAAAAAGATATACATGTCTGGAGGACCAAAAATCAAGGTGAACCCTATAAATTAAAGTTGAAAGTCCGCAGAGGACACAGGATACAGTTAATGAAATCGCCTTTAAAAAATGTTTATATGCAGGGGCGCCTGGGTGGCTCAGTTGGTTAAGCGACTGCCTTCGGCTCAGGTCATGATCCTGGAGTCCCGGGATCGAGTCCCACATCGGGCTCCCTGCTCAGCGGGGAGTCTGCTTCTCCCTCTGACCCTCTTCCCTCTTGTGCTATGTCTCATTCTCTCTCTCTCTCAAATAAATAAATAAAACATTTAAAAAAAAAATAAAAAATGTTTATATGCAGAAAAAAGAAAATAATGTCATAAATTGATGCTCTGCCCATTACTTCACTAGATCAAAATTGCATCTGAAAGGATGGGAGAGCACACCCAGAGACGTTTTAAGAGGAAGTTAAACTGGTTAGGGCACCAGGTAAAGAGCAGACATCTCTCAAGTGGTGGGCTGACCCTTGGTCCTGAGGACTTTGATTAGAACTTCCTGACATCTAATTCTTTGGCAAGTTAACAGTTCTAAGGGGCTCCTGCAGACAATACTTTTCACGTAATGACACCCTCTTTTTTAACTCTAGAGAGTCAATTATTAGCTAAAAGGAAACTTTTAGAGTATGTTCATTCACCTATCTCCAAGCGCCCACTATAGGCCAGACTCTGTCTGGAGCTGTAAAGATGTCAGGACCTAAACAGTAAATCACAAACAATGGAGTGGGACGATGATAGAGATTTATGTGCACAATGTTATGATGCATACAGAAAGAAGAGATAACGAGCCCAGGAAGGTATGGAAGTCCGAAGATCTGCCGGAGGAAGCAGTGAACATCCTGCGTGACTCCTAAAGAACAAAGAGAATCGCCAGGAGACCATTACAAGCATAGAGGACCACAGGAACCTAGCTAGGACATTTATTGATTGTGTTGGGGGATGTGGGTGGTCAGTAGGGGATGGGGAGATGGGACTGCAAGCAATTCTTGGTTGCTGGAGCATAAAATGAGAAGCAAGGAGCAGGCAGAGATGCATCAGAAAATAATGATATTTACCTGTAACGCAGATAAATACTTGTTTAAGGGAAGGCAGTCTAGGGGGATGTATTGATGAAAGTTGTATTGCAGTAAACACTTTCTGAGTGCCCTCCCAGCCCACTTCAGAGGAACATCTGCTTTCTCTGGAGTGGGCACTGGCAGCCAGACTGGGGGCCTCAGCCTCTCTGCCCATAGGTAGTCACATGACCCTCGTTGGGCCAATGAAGTGCTCTCTTCTGGATGGTTGGCCAGAGATGCCGTCAATCCGTAAAGGTCAATTCACAGGTGCTGTTCAAATGCGGAGTCCACCTGTCTGCAAAGAGAGAGAAAAACGACAAATGGACTTCCAGTCACTTGGTGTCACTTCGGGTCCTTCGGGTCCTTATTAAGGTTAACCCAGGCACCTTGGTAAGTTCCTCTTTTTATTTAAGGTTCTTTTACTTTCAACCCAAAGGATCCGCACTACGATACTTGTATTTTATTGAATTAATTTTGATTTTTATCATTCCAGGGTGTATAGTTGTTTGTTCCAAACACAATTCAGAATAAGAACTTAAGATCCATTCTTCAGACAATGATTTCAACTCTTTTGTTTTTATTATTAGTTTAATGGGCAGACTTTTTAAATGGCCAGAAATTAGTTTTAAGAGAAACAAGTCTGTACTTTGTCTAATGGTTTTGGAGCAGACATGGACTGGACTTTTCAACTAAGTGAATGAGAGTGTTTAAATCAATATGGAAAGTCAAAATTGGTTTATGGATAATATGTCAATTATGAGGCCATATTGATAGTTGAAAGAATAGGTAACAATTTTCATTTAAGACTCAAGGAAATTGCTTCTCTACAGAATTTTACTTGCATTTTGCACCTAATTCAGTTCTTACTTTCCTACACATAGGTTGGTAAGTAGAAGAGAAAATAGTAAAACTAGTGTCTTTTGGAAATTTAAATTAAGAAAGGAAATCAATGACCAAAATTCTTTTTACTCTTATGCAGGGAATTCTGAATGTATAAGCTAGAACCAGCTATCCATACCTAAGAATAGAACGCTGATTCTAGGCCTAACAAACTGAAATAATTAAACATTATAATAGTTTAATATTATTACCTTCAAAGAGTATTCTAGATATGTTTTATCCTTGGACATATATGGATATATATTATATATATATATATACACAACATATATAATCATAACACGCCACTATGACGTATTTTTCTGGTTGCTCTACACCACAGAATAACTTTCTAAATTTTATTTTTTTTATAAATAGCAAAAAAAAAGGGGGGGGTGGTTTATGTCCAACCCATTTTGTTAACAAAGATATAAATACCAATCTCTGCCTACTCAAATAATGCTGTTGTTTCCCAAAGTTACATGTGATCCCCATTTTCAGCAATGCCTCTCTCTTCACAATGCAGATGAAAAATAATTCTTGGTACATTTTGTTCAGAGAGAAACAGTTGTGTTCAAGTTCCTGGCTCGCATACAAGCAACTCTTACAGTCTAGGGATAGAATCTAACATTTCTGCCTGTTATACAAATCTTCTACCAACTAACAATCCACAGAGGTTAGGTAACACTTTGAATTCCCAGTAGCAGCTTTTTAAAAAAGTCATTTGTTCTCAGTAGAAGTTAGGAGTTCAGAACTGAAAATTTATTTTCATTGGAATAAAGTCAAAGGTGAGAGATTAGCCCAGCCTAAAGGAACGGCTATCTAGTGAAGTGGGGTTTTTTTGGGGGGGGGGTGTTTTTTCTTTTTTTTCCAAAATGAACTGACTGCAGAGTCTGGGAGGTAGTGTGATAGGACCTAGAAAAAAGACTGAAGGTCACATTCCAAAATGCCCATCCTCCCACAGGTTAGCAAAAATGCTATGGGGTCTTACAAATAAACCCTGCAGTATCGGTTAGCTTGAGGTTTTCTTAAGAATTTTTAAAGCAGGAGCGCCTGGGTGGCTCAGTCGTTAAGCGTCTACCTTCGGCTCAGATCATGATCCCAGGGTCCTGGAATCGAGCCCTGCTCCGCAGGAAGCCTGCTTCTCCCTCTCCCACTCCCCCTGCTTGTGTTCCCTCTCTCGCTCTATCTCTCTCTGTCAAATAAATAAATAAAATCTTGGGGGAAAAAAGAATTTTTAAAGCAATTTGGGGCACCTGGGTGACTCAGTCCGGTTAAGTGTCCAACTCTTGATTTCAGCTCAGGTTGGGATCTCAGGGTCGTAGGATCAAGCCCCGGGACGGGCTCCACGCTCAGTGTGAAGTCTGCTTGGCATTCTCTCCCTCCTCTCCCTCTGCCCTTACCGCCCTCAAATAAATAAATACATCTAAAAAAAAAAAAA